CTTTCTATCTCTATGTCTCTCTCTGTCTTTCTGGCGAGCACATGTGCCCTATAGCAAAAAAAACCCAAAACAAACGAACAAAAAAAACTTTCCAAAAAATAAGCGCATTCTCTCCCATCGCAGAATCTGCCCACCCTCAGCCCTCCCTTGCCACGGCCATGGCGTATGCATCCCGTAGTCTGCAGGGCCGGCCACATCCGCTCCTACACGGATGGCACGCAGAGCCCGGCGAGAGGCAGCCCTCCTCCCCAAACCAGCCACAGTAAGACCGTAGCCCCCCACCTCCACCCCAAGGGAACATCCCCAGCAACACTTCCTTACTCTAAGTCCCTTCTGGAGTATTCTCCCTGCAAGACGCACCCCCAAGCCATGACCTCCAGCAACTCTCAACAACTGAGGGTCATCCAGATGCTTGACAGCTGGATGGAGCACCTGCCACCCTCAGGCCAAGGTGGGGGACAGGCAGGGGTGCCCAGGATGGAAGGGGTTTTTTTTTTTTTTTTTTGGACAGGTTTCTGCTATAGGGAGCGTGAGCTCACCAGACAGACACAAAGAAACAGAGAGACAGAAATCACCCCCTATGGGGATGGCCATGCTGCAATCCCTTCTCCTACTCCATTCTCCTCTCGGGATCTTGGGCACACACGCACACACGCCCGGCGTGAGTTTAAGCCACTGGGTCCAGGACTCAAAGTGTAGTCGGCTACATGGGAGTCCAGCGACATAGCCATTACGCCAACTGCTGGTCCCAGGATGGCAGTTCTGTGACCCTCTGTGGTAGATGTGCCTCGTCACACCCGGAGGACGCACAGAACTTCGCCGAGGCCTGCCCCACCCTCTGCCCGTGAGACAGGCACGGAGTCACAGGTGCGATAGCAGACAGGACAGAGGGTGGGGAGGAGACGGAGGCATGTGTGTTTAAACGCAGAAGTTGCTTGAGTTTAAAGTTGCAGCCTGCGTGAACACCAGAGGCGTCTCGGGGACAGAGGCAGGGCTGGGACTCTAGCAAATTTGGCTGTGACCAGGACAGGTTCTCAGAGCCAGGCTGGGCAGGACTGGGCAGTCACACGAGACACACGTGGAGCTCGTGGACAGGCTGGAGGACACAGGCTGCAGCTGGCCCTGCTCACATCTGCGGCCCCGTGGCCACCGCCCACGGTGCTGCAGGGTGCCAGGCTGCGCCTTGCTCTGAGGCTGCTCCCTGCCTATCCCTCCGACACCCACGGAAGCCCTCACTCCCACTCCAGCCCGCCTAGGCTGCCGCCAGTTGCCGTGGGGCCTGCAGCCTGGGCTTCAGGGTCACAGCCACACCACGGGGCAGGCAGGATGGCTGGGCTCTGGAAAGCAAGAACCTGCAGCTGTATCTGCAGCGCCAAGGCCCGGGGTGGAAGACGGGCCATCTGTCCCATGGTGGCTCTGTGGTTCCCTCTCCTTTGCCCCACAAGGCCAGACCTTGCATAGGGGCCTCCAGTCCCTCTCCCCCTTCGCAGGGGCTCTCCGATCACACCCGATCCTACCTTGGCACCTGCTTCTTGGAGAGCCCCTCAGCAGGGGCTCGGGGCACCAGGAGCAGGTCCACGTCTTGGCTCCAGCAGGGGGCAGGTCTCAGGCCTCGGGTGAATGTGCCCACGAGACGCAAGGCTGTCAGCCGCAACTGAAGACAGGACTTCTCTCCCCGCCTCTGCCCGAGGACAGCACGCTAACTGCCATCAGTCCCAGGAGCAATCCCAGAAGGTCTCACCTGAGCCAACCTGAGCCAACCACTGCCTTTTAGCCTTTTGTAAATTTCCACTCCCTGCCTCCTCCCGCCCCTCCTCCGGCTCCGCACCCGGCTCAAGTTGTAAGGAAGCTGGGCTCCTTTTCCCTACTGCCAGCGGTCACCAACTATGTTTTCTGTCCTTGCCTCTTTAACCCGTGTCTGGCTGTGTTTCTCCAGTATCTGGCACCAGGACGTGGCTCTGGATAGGAGCCACCATCACGCCCTCGGAGGTAACCCTGAGGCCTCTCTGCATGCCCCCCTAGTTAGCTCGCTGGCTGGGTGTCCCAGGGTGAGTGATTCCTGACCCAGAGTCTGGATAAGCACCCCCTGGAGCCAGGGAGGACAAGTTTTGCTTCTCGAAATTCTGAGAATATTCTCCGAGCTGGGTTAGAGTCCCAGGTTTTCTTTTTCCCCAGCACCCCAGGATCCTGAGCACCCACCCATGCGCCCCAAGTGTTTTCGGGCTGACCTGGGCATCCGAACCACCCATGGCACTTGGCTTCCAGCCCTGCAGGGCACTGTGGCTTCTTGTTGTGTCCCAGCGGCTGGGCCCCCAGGCTGCTTCTGAAAGGTTCGTCCTGAAGACTCAGCCCTGACTCCTGGGCTGGAAATTTTTTTTTTTCCTGGCTCCGAGGGAGGCCTCTTTGTTCTATTTATTCCTGCCCCTCCCACGGGACCTTCTGGGCTGACTGAAACGCCCCTGCTCAAACTCCAGGGATGACACAGGGACACTTCCAAAAGCTCATGGGGAAGTAGAACGAACGTGCAGTTTTGGTGCAAAGAGTTTGAAATCCATGCAAGTTTTTCTTAATACAGATTTTCCATAAACTTTTTTTTTTTTTAAAGAAAGGCTTTTTGGCTACAGGGTGTGTGCGTGCCTCCTGAGAGACAGAGGGAGATGGAGAGACAGAAAGCGAGAAATCACCCCCCAGGGGGGACAGCCACACTCCAATCCCTTCTCCTCCATTCTCCTCTCGAATCTTGGGCACGCGCGCCCACACACACTCAGCGTGAGTTTAAGCCACCGGGTCCGGGACTCAAACCATGGTTGACTACGTGGGAGTCCAGTGACGTAAATGTTATGCCATCTGCTGGTCACGTCCATACACTTTTTGAAGACAAAGTGTGTCTGCCACTACCATTTTTTAAAAAGAATTATTACTTTTTGGGGGGGAGAGGTTGTTGCTATAGGGCACGTGCGCTCGCCAGAAAGATAGAGAGAGACAGAGACAGAAAGCGAGAAATCACCCCCCAGGGGAGATGGCCACGCCAGAATCCCTTCTCCTCCATTCTCCTCTCGGGATCTTGGGCACGCACGCACATGTGCCTGGCGTGAGTTTAAGCCACCGGGTCCAGGACTCGAACCAGAGTCGACTACATAGGAGTCCAGCGACATAGCCATTATGCTAGCTGCTGGTCCCGCCCTTCATTTCTTATTCATGTAACTTCACCAATGATAACTGGAAACTTCAGTGGCTTCTTGGGGAAACCTAAGATCTCTCCAAAGTGGCCGCTCTAATAACTGTCCTCCCTTTCACCTCCACTCTCCCTTCCTCCTCTGTCCCCTCCATCCGCCCTTCTCTCCCTCAAATTCGGATCCTCCTCCACTCTCTGTCTACCCAGTGCGTGGCCTCCAGTTCCCACCCCAGCCCTCAACTCCCACTAGAGTCCAGGAACTCTAGGCCCCTGCCACCTGGGCTCTCAAGGACCCACCGAAGCCTCTACCTGAGGCTGAAGAACAAATATTGAGTCGGAAACAGATACTGAGTCCACGCCTCCAAAATGTCAACCATCAGGGCAAAAGAACGTCTTGGAAGGTTCCTCCGTAGCAGGAGTGGGAGGCTTTAGCCTTCATTTGATCGGAGCAGGGGGGCCCTGGCTAGCTCCATCTGCCACCAGAAACACAATTCCGAATCAAATAAGAAATGGGGCCAAAAGCACCCCCAAAACCATCGCTCATATGAACTAGAGAGTTGGGTTTTCTTTTTTGATTTTTCTTTTTTTTTTTTGGAGAGGTTTTTGCTATAGGGCGGGTGCGCTCGCCAGAAAGACAGAGAGACAGAGACAGAGAGACAGAAAGCGAGAAATCAACCCCCCCGGAGGGGTGGCCACGCCGCAATCCCTTCTCCTCCATTCTCCTCTCGGGATCTTGGGCACGCACGCACATGTGCCCGGCGTGAGCTTTAAGCCACCAGGTCCGAGACTCGAACCATGGTCGACTACATGGGAGTCCAGCGACATAGCCATTACGCTAACTGCTGGTCCTGAGAGTTGGATTTTATAAGTTGTGTTTTATAGCACATCTGTCTAAAGTTTCCAATCTTTTTTCTTATTAAAAAAAAAATTATTGAGGCCAGCAGGTTGTTGAGGCAGCTGAACTCCCACATGGCTGACTGAGGTTCTAATCCCGGACCTGGTGGCTTGCTTTCTCACTTTCCTTTTCTCTCTCTGTCTCTCTCTCTCTGGTCAACTTCAAAAAAATAAAATAAAATAATGACAACGAATAAAATTAAATAAGAAATAATTCCTTTAAAAAATAATTATTTACATTGATTTTTCAATAGTATTATTTTAAAATTTACTATAGGGCACATGCACGCACCAGAGAAAGAGACAGAGAGGAAAAGCAAAAGCAAGCTGCCAGGTCTGGGACTCAAACCGCAGTTGACCATGGGAGAGTCCAGCATCTTAACCACACACTACTTGCTGGACACTGCAATCTTTTTTCTAACTTGCAATGTCAGAGTTGTGCTAAGTTAAGCAATAGATATTCATGGACTGTCTAAATAAGTCCTTGATAAAAGACAGTGTTAGGCCCAACCTGTGGAATGGTGGTTAAAGTCACTGGAGCCCACATGCTCAACCCCACAGATCGAGTCCCAGACCCGGTGGTCTGTGAAACACACTGCTTCAGGGTGCTTGTGTGTCCAAAATTCAGTAAGGAGAGATGGAGGAGAAGGGATTGCGGGGTGACCGTTCCCCACGAGGGGTTGCTTTCTCACTTCCCTCTCTTTCTGGCGAGCACATGCACTCTTTGGCAAAATGAAAAAGAAGTGCTAAGGCCCAGCAGGTGGCGTGGAGGTGAAAGCGGCTAGGTTCCACATGGATGATTCCATGGTTCGAGTCCCAGATCCAGCAGCTTGAAAAATCACATGTGTGGGGGTGGAGGCAGCAGTTGGTGTGGTTGGTTAAGGCACTGGGCTCCCACACTGACTAGTCACATTCCAAGTGCTGGACCTGGCGGCTTGCTTTCTCACTTTCCCTATCTCTCTCTCTCTCCCCTTAAAACTGAGCTTTACCATGCTGGGTGTGGGTGATGAGGCCCTGCGGAGGGAGCTCACGTGAGTTCACAAGTGCTCACTATCACAAATAAAATAAATACACTTTTTTAAAAAAATTAGTCTTGGGACCAGCAGTTAGCATAATGGCTATGTCGCTGAACTCCCACGTAATTGACGGTGGTTGGAATCCCAGACCCGGTGGCTTAAACTCACGCTGGGTGTGTGTGTGTGTGTGTGCGTGCCCAAGATCCCGAGAGGAGAATGGAGGAGAAGGGATTGCGGTGTGGCCATCCCCTCTGGAGCGTGATTTCTTGCTTTCTGTCTCTCTGTCTCTCTCTGTCTGGCGAGCGCACATGCCCTATAGCAAAAACCTCTCAAAAAAAAATAATAATAAAATAAAATCCTGGGCTCAGCAGGTGGCGTGGTGGTTAAGGTTTGAATCTCGAACCCGGAGACGCCAGGCGCATGTGCGTGCGTGCCCAAAATCCCGACAGGAGAATGGGGGAGAAGGATTGCTTCATGGCCATCGTCCATTTCTCTCAAGAGAGCACACGCGCCCTATGGGAAAAAAGAAAAACAAATAAATAACGTTTCTTGGATTACAGGTATTAAAATTTCCTTTGTGAGAGAGAGAGAGATCGGTGCCTTGACAGGGTCTTGCCGCACTGCGATCCCTTCCCAGCCTCCCTGCCAGCCAGGATCAAGGCTGATGTGGGCACATCTGGCATGCTTGGGTTGGTCCAGGGTCCAGACCTGGGCCTTCCACATGGTTCCAGCACTGCCCAGCAGTGGCCTGCTGCCTGTGCTCCATGACAGATGTAGTCTGTCTTTCTTTTTCTTCCTCTTTCTTTCTTTCTTTCTTTCTTTCTTTCTTTCTTTCTTTCTTTCTTTCTTTCTTTCTTTCTTTCTTTCCTTCCTCCCTCCCTCCCTTCCTCCTTCCCTTTCTTTTTCTTTCCTTCTTTCTTCCTTCCTTTCTTTCTTTCTTTTGTTAATTTTGCCAGAGGCTGTGTGTGCTGTCGTTAATTTTGCCAGAGGCTATGTGTGCTGTCTGCAGAGAGGCAGAGGGAGGGAGGGAGAGTGAGAAAGCACCCCCCACAGGGCACGGTCACACACGATCCCCTCTCCCCTTGCATCCCTCTCCTTTTGGGATTTTGGGCATGCACACACACATGCCTGGCATGTTTTTCAAGTCACAGGTTCTGGGCCTCCAACCCCACAGTCACGTGGGCTCCAGCCACCTTTCTTACCACACTGTGGGCTGGCCCCTGGTCTACTTCCAATAAAGGGCTGGAAAAGAGTTTTCCTGGGGCCAGCAGGTGGGGTGGTGGTGAAGGCAGCTGCATTCCCACATGGACGATTAATGAACATAAGGAGGGACCAGCAATTGGCGGAATGGCTACATCGCTGGACTCCCATCTAGTCGACTGCGGGTCGAGTCCCAGATCTGGTGGCTTGAAAAAACACACAGCATGTGCGTGCATGCCCAAAATCCTGAGAGGAGAATGGAGGAGAAGGAATTGCAGCATAGTCACCCCCCCTGGGGGTGATTTCTCACTTTCTCTCTCTCTCTAACTCTCCTTTCTGATGAGA